TTTTGTAAAAAGAAAATAGATGGGTTTTTTGACCCGGTTTTACTTCTTCGTGTATATACGCTCATGTTCTACGGGATGTCACAGGATACTCTTACAGGTGGAATTAACTAGAAAATTTTTTGGTTTAAAATAAGAGAAAGGGACGCCTGGAATGGAAGTAAAACCTGCTAGATAGATAATGTTTCTTCTGCATTACAAAGGAAAGAGGAACATGTGGATTGTTGCCTCTTATAAAAAGCGGTCATATCTGTAAAGTATGAAATACAATTTTTCTTGGCCCAGATGCAAGGACAGCAAGTATATTAAGGTGCTCATCTGTCCTTTGGCTTAGGTGTTGAGGAAAACTTAAGAGCTTACAAGTAATGTTGAAACTAGTCTTAAGAAAAAATATTATTGCAGCAATATCTTTTGAGATAGTAGTAATGTAACAGGTTTTCATTCTTGAATATGTTCAGTACTTGTAATTAGATTGTGTTAAGAAGACTTTGCAGCTGCTATAGATGACAGTCTTTCTGAGTGCTGATGTGTATAATGAGATTTACGTTGTAGTGTTTAGTAAAAATGTGTTGCAATTTCTGGGATCTTTTGGTCTCCTTGATGCTCACGAATTTGAGGGACCTCCAGACCTCTGCCTCTTCTAGAGTAGCCTAGTGGCACTCTTCTGTAATAATCCCCTGAAAGAAAACACTATTTAATAAATGTTGCTGGTTAGTGACATGTCCCATAAATGTCTTTGTAACATGAGTAATATTAGTGCAATTAAAGTGCTTTCTTTTCCAAAACTGTCCATGTAGACCTGACTTAGCCGTCACGTGAGGACTGATGGGTTGAAAGGAGGTCAGCTTCTCTTCAGATTAGGTTTTGCATCCAGCTGGAGGAGAATGACTTAAAAAACAAATCATGCTGAGAGGATCAGAGTTATTTAACACTGTACTCTCCCAAAAGAACCCCAAAAACTTGCGTGTTTTGGAAAGTAGAAGCTTAAGACAGGATCTTAAACTGTCTTCTGTTATTTTCAATGTAAGAATGTAATTGCATCTGATATATTCTTCTGTATCAATTCTTAGGTGTCTTCTCAAAACAGTTTCATGGTTTTATAGAGTGGATTTCAAAATATACTAATATATTTTTTAAAACAGCTAAGAATCATCTTGGCAGTTCTCTGTATACTTGGACTACTGTTATCAATGGTGATTGAGGTGTAAGACCATTGTGCATGATATAGCTCAGAAGCTCAAGAAATCTTATATCCAATACTTGTAAAGAGGGGAGAATCCATACAATATTAAGTGTACAAGTTATATGTAATTTGAAAACTGAGTGTATTAAATATTTTTGTGTAGATCTACTTTTTATAATTGACATTAAAAGGAATTGGAATTGTGAGGAAATACCATTTTTAATGCCTGTATCTAAAATAATTAGCAAGTATAATGCTATAGTTGCCATCATAGGAGTGTTTTTAAAAGCAGATTGCCCAGATGAATCAGACCTTCTGGAGATTTGTTTGCATTAGTCAGTTCTGAAGTATTTTACAGGAATCCTGCAACAGAAGTAATTTGGAAAGCTTTCTTTTGAGTTGTGTAAATTATTAATCCTTTTACAATAAGACATTATTCTTTGCTTGGTTCCCCTTTTTTTTTTCCCCTTGTTTTTTGGTTGTGTTTGGTTTGGGTTTTATTTTTATTATTTTATTCTTAATCTTGCTAAAGCTTAAATTATACTTTACTACATATCCTTCATCTTACGGCTTTCTTTCCCCCCTGTAATTGCCTATCATCCATTTTTCTTGTTCTCTTCCAGTTTAAGTTGTTTTCCCAGGTACCAGGTGACTTCAGAGGTTTCTTAATTGCCTCCCTTCGTATTTTTCTAGTAAAAATTTAGCCCTGCTCTCTTGCTGCTCAGTTTTAACTCCCTGTTACGGGTAGTTACGGGTGGCTTCAGGGAAGGGACTGAAGCAGGCTGCTGCTCAACAGAAGAATGGGCGGTCACGTAGTGAGGAAGAGAAGCTCTGAGAAGATCACGCTCTCATTGTTATGTTTTGCAAAGGGTTTGAATATGCAAGAACGAAGCTCTCGGGTGGGCTGGAATATCAACCAGCACTGATTCGGCTACTTTATTGTAACTGTCTGTTGGTATTCCTTTCTGTGTCGTGTTTTGCACAAAACCCATGGAACAGTTGATCTAACTTACCTGCAATAACTTGTTTATGCTCACCTAGTAAATAGCTGTCTAGGACATGATGTGTGTGGGATAGGACTGAATTTTTATTGTCATCTGGAGTCATGCAAATACAGGTTTCGGTAAATTATCTAAGTACATGATTTTACTGTTAATATGACAAACATTTAATTACATTAATGATATATACTGTCAGTTAACATTTGAAATTGAGTATTTTTTTCTGACAGGGAATTATCTTACATTTGCTATTTCTGTGTTAACTGTATAGAAGAATTTCCTCATGCTGAAGATTCGGAAGTACATGATAAGTTGTGAACGTGCAACAGTAGGAATAATATAATTCTTGTGGGCATGCTGATAGATTAACAGGCTGCAGTAATCATAAGGCACATTTATGGATCCTGACTCTATAGCTGAAATGTTTCTTATATGGTAATAATTCAACACCAAAGTTAAAGCTACAAGATGGCAAATAATTACCTGATGGTTTTTGTTAGAAAAATTAGTCTAGACTAAAAAAAAAAAAGTAAAAAAAACAGTTTCCACCCCTCTTTTTTGTTGTACTTATTGTTAACTGAAGCATTTGAAGCTGAGAAAAAAAAATTGTTTCTTGCTAGGAGAAAGTGTATCATGCTTTTTGAGTATCATGCTTTTTGAAAGAGGTGTATATTATATCTTGCCAGTGGTTCTGTTCTTTGCAAAGAAAACGACTTAAGTTGTAGCAACTAGTACAGCTTCATAGCTCTGTACTTAACATCCTCATCTAGCTGGTGTTGTACTCGACCCTGCCCTATGTTGCACACTTCACATTAAAAAAAAACACCCATGAACGCAGTTGAACTTGAGATACATCAGTAAGTTACATGCAGTAACTCAAGATCTGGTACTTTCCCTTGTAGCTAGAGTATCTTACAGCTGTTTGTGGCATGTGCTGTTTTCATACAGACACGCATGCCTGCATGCACACATGGTTGATGTAAACTGATAACCAAGATGTTTTTCTACCATGGTGGGCTATGGATTGACATTAGGGATGATATACCACTTTTCTTCTGCTTCTTCATGTCAGGGCTGAGATGTAAAAGCAGACTAATATCAACAAGGTTGTATGCTGATTTTGTGACGAACTCATTGGTATCAGTTTGTGGGTATGATTAATCCTAATAGGGATGCTGATTTTACTTAAAATGTCAGTTGAAGTTATTGTGAACAGTCTGAGAAAGTAGTAGCGTGTTCTCTTACAAAGGTTTGGCCTGGGTTCTAGGGTCAGAAGAAGAGATCCTTCTTAAGTGTTCATCGATTACCTTTCGTGGCTGGACCTTAAAACTGCCTCTGTCTTTTAGTTATGAGGCCTTCCTCTCCACACTAAGCTATGTTATTTCAAAAACAGTGTATAATCTTTTTATGTTAAGTTCATTTTCTAGGTTAATATGAGTTACTAGAAACAAAGTTACTGCCCTGAGAGCCTTTTTTCATGTATCTTATGACAATTTCCTATACCAGGATATTTTTACAGAACTACTGACTCTGTTCTGTCAGACATTCGTGTCTGCTGCTTTAAATGTGTGAAGATAGAAGATTCATGTTTGGCATCCCAAACATGACTGAATGGAAAGTTGTTGTGTAAAACCATAAAAATACTATTAGTGTATTTTGATTTGATTAATTTTTCAGTTTAAAGGTTGCTTTTAGCAAGACTGATTCAGTTGCCTAGTATATGAAATTGTTTTCAAAGTGCATCTGAACTTAAACTCTTAAATCATAAGTGGAATGATTTTCAGAATCAGGTAAATTTTTTTGCATATGCTTATTCTCAGCATACATGTGTTCACTCAAGTGGAATATACATTAGCATTCTTGAAGAAAACTCATGAGAAAAAAATTTCTGGTATAAGTTTCATTAGTTTTCATTTTGAATTGTGACTTTGTTTCTGTTTCATCCTTTTGATGTAAACAGTGATACTATAATCCTTTGGCATTATCTGTGACAGATGAACTTTGTTTTCCCTAAGTGATGATTTTTGCCACTCCAGGTGCTATCTTTTGAGTATTGTTTTACAGCAGGCCATGGTTCATGATCAGTAATGTCAGAACTTTTGCTGTTGGATAACTGAGCATCAACTGAATCTGGATCAGTTTCACATGTGATTTGTCTATTTGGTGTAAATGCATGTGTTGCAGTTTATGTTGATACTACATTTTCATGCTAGTTTCAAAAGCATGGTCAGTATCTGAACTGACATAGCAATTGCATGATATAATTTGTCAAAAAATGTATCACCACCAAGTTAAGAAAAACTGTTTGAACAAAGATGAACTGGCAGATTGACTTTATATACAGTAGTAGAACACATCAGAGCTTGGTTTCCAGTCAACGCTGCATTTTTGAGTCATGAAGCCAGACTGACTGTATTACTGAGCCACGGCCTTTAGGCAATACTGCAATAGGACCTCTTTATTTACTGTTAAAATGTAAATATACTGCTTCTTATTAATGGAAAACACTGCATGAAGATGGATTCATTTGCAGTTGATCACATAAATCTTTGGGAACTTCAGACTGCTGCATTTAATAAATTAAACTTGTGATATTTCACCTTTAATATTATGCAAAAATGTACAGAATTGCTATACTGAATTTATATTCAATTTGATTTTATAAAACCAGGGGAGTATATTTAACTTTATTCCTTGTACATTTTTGTAATCAATGGAAACTTTTGAAACTTGAAAATTTTTATTTTCATGGCATAAATGGGAATGTTTTAAGTTCTAAGAATTGATAGGTTGACCATGAAAACTATGTTTACTTTCAGAGAGAACAGGAAATGAGAATGGGTGATATGGGTCCTCGTGGAGCAATAAACATGGGAGGTAGGGATCTGAAGGAAAAAGGCTTCTCTAATGTAAAATTTCTTTTTCTTTGGGACTGTACATGTTACTCAAGTACAATTAATTAGTGACAACTACTGGTTAAAAGGAGTAAACAGTATTAGGGAAAAAAAAAAAAATCACTATTTTGCTTTCAAACAGTTTTTTTCCCTCCCAACATGCATCTTTATTTTATTGTTTTGAGTGCCTGTGGGAGGAAAAATATGACGTGGAAGTTAAGAGAAACAAAAAGGCAAGGAAGGGGGGTAGTGCTCTAGAAGTGATCTTATACAAGAGAGTAATTTTATGTTTAGAAAATACTTGATGTTCTTTTGGAGGGTCTGCCTATTCAGAGAAGTTGGGACTGTAATTGTGTGCAGTGAAACGATATAAAGCTTAAAATTTTTAAGATCTTGTTAATGTAGCTATCAAAAGATTAATGAGTAATGTGGTTGGTGTTCTACTAATTTATTGCAAGTCTGTATTTGCAAATATTCTCAGTTTGCTTTTGTGACTTAAAATATTGTCACTGCTAAAAACTGTTACTGTGAAGTCTGGAAAAGTACATTCTTAATAATTAGTGCTTGATCCGTATATACAGACTGAAAGAGTTTGGAATCCTACATAACCAGAATATCTGCTTTTAAACAAGACTGAAACTTAGATTATTTTTTTTAAATCTTTCTAAACTGTATTAACTGTCAGCATATATCTCTTGGAAGCTTCTTGATGTTTATTTAAAATAAGATGATAATTTTAGGTAAAGTTAATACTATTTTTGTGTATTTTAAATTTGAAAGTACACAGAAAACTTTGTAAACATTGTCACTTAACCTTTTGAGTAATGTGAATTTGCAGACTAATGAATCTGCTCAGTCCAGATTTTGAAATTGATTATTCACTATTTCCTTGCATTTATTAATTGATACACATTTATAGCTGCAAAATAGAAATAGGCTGCTTCTTTCAGTGAAGATGAAGAACTTTAAAAAATAATTCTAAAGGAAGACATTATGAAGTTACTTACAAATAATAATCTGAAGCATAAATTCTGACTAATTTTTTTATTTTATAGTTGTACTTCTGTATATTATTGCAGTCTACTTGAAAAATTCATTTAATTAGGAGACTGTAAATATTGATACTGTGGAAGCTACTAATGCCAGTTGCCCAGGTCCACAGTACACACTTTTTACATACAGATTTTAAAGGTGTTCAGCAATCAGTTCACAACCCTTTTCTTGTCAGGTTTTAAAGCTTAACAGTGATGCTCATAGTCTTGCTTTGTAAGCTTTGTGCTATGACTTGTAATTTTAAACTTGATACAGATACTTTCAGAAATTAATGTATAGTTCCAAAAGAAGTTATAGTAGCAGTGAACTACTATTTTTAAAAGGGAAAAATATCCATAGCAAATAAGTAAAGATAGTGTTTGTTTCTACACTATCTGGATTTTAGGTTAGCTCACTGTAGAGATTTTTTTTTTTCCCCCCTCTAGCCCACTAACGACCTCACCACTATAACAAAAAAAATCTGATTCCTGCAACCTGCAGTGACCTTTAAATAGTTAGACCTTTAATTGCTGATCTCAACATCCTTCCTCAACATTTCTGTTGGAATTGTAACTTTATTTTTACCTGGCCTTTATCTGTGCCATTTGCGACTTTTCATCATGTGGGACCCTGGGGAGCCGGAGTATCTTCAGTAATGGAAGTACCCACATGATAATGTTATTAGAAAGCAAGCTACTTTTGTCATGGATGTAATGAGTGTTGGGCCGACTTGTGCAGGACCGCTCATTTTTCCATTGTTTTCTGCAGCAAACTAGTTCTGAGAAAATCTGAATACCTCACCGCAGCACTTAACCGGATCTGTAGTGTTAGGTGCAGATAATGAACCTTTCAATGTGGGGAAAAAAAAGACTCTTGGTAACTATGCCTGCATTGATGAAGATTATTGACTGTGGCTTGTTGCCAGCTGTGCCAGGCCTTGGCATGTGCAGTTCAGACACTTGGAGCGTACTTTTTCAGCCCTCCACATTGTAGAAAAAAACATTTTTTTAGTGTCTGTGCATTGTGGCATGAACTGATGACTGCTTTCCATCTGTTGCTGAACCTGGTCCAGTGAATTAACTGCTAATATCAGGGTCCCACCAAACAAAATGGACAATCAAGTGGTCCGCTCTCAGGGCCTGCTTTGGAGCTAGGAGGGCCTCTGAGGTGTAGCTCAAATGCTGTAACAGCCTCTTGCTGAAACTGCAGGGCCCCATTCTCTCCTTGTGTTACACTCCCCTGGTTGTCCTCATGACAGAGCTGACTCTACCTGGCTTAATAATACAGAGGTTTGATAGTATAGGTCACTCTATGTCACCCCGAAAGCAGTATAGCTGCATTTGTATGACAGGAGGATAAGAACTTTGTTGCAGTTGAAGGATAAGCGAACACTACCCGAGTGTGGCCAGCTGGCTACATTTTATTAGGCTGGTAGAGCAAACCAATAACAGATAATTGAGCATTGACTGCTTTTGTTAATGGCACTACCTGCACTAAGCACTGCCATCGTCATAGTCTTGTGCAGTGCTCTAGCCTCTGAAAATAAAGGTTTCTCCTTATATTGGCAGTTTAGACTTAACCATTTCCTTCCTTGTTTAGTCACTGAATGGATGACACTACAAAAAGTTTTAGGGCTTATTCAACTGTAGTTCTTGAAATACAGCACAGTCTTCTACCTGCTGTATGAACTGATGATGCTTGTGGGTAGCTAAGAAGCATCCAACTTGCACATGCCTTTGTTTTGTCTTAATGTCATAGTTGGGAGGGTTCTTGGGTGTTTCTCATTACTCAAATTCTGCATTTCAGAATTACAAGACTTTTTTCTATTGCCTCTAATAAACTTGTGTAGCACTTTACATGTGCTACTGTGTTGCATGGGTTTTTGCTAAGCACCTTGCAGTGAGCATAATGTATTGATCAAGGCCACATCTGCAATTTTAGCAGCAGTATCTTGGATGCAGTGGTTTCACTGACTGCTGTGATAGGTGTACTCAGTGCAGGTAATGAAGATGCAGGTTTGCATACCTGCTGATAGTCATAGTACTGTATCTGTGCTAAATGGCCTGCTTAGAATGATGCACATTTATATATTCATTACTAAAGAAGCTACAGTTGTGATGAGAGGAAAGAGATTGAGTTTTGAAATAAATTTATTAATCTAGCAATATGTCAGATTTCTTTATATTGTTGGATGTTGTCATGACTTAAAACATAGGTTAGGTTCCACAGGCATGTAGTCTTCCATTATCAAATTTAGATGCACACTTTTGGCTGAAAAGGGTGGATTATCTTTGAGGGAAGGGGGGGAACCACATCACTACCAGTCTTAAAGCTGATGATACTTCATAATAGCAGGTGCAAATGATATGTGTAATCACACTTTTTGTCTTTCTTACATAATGTGAAAAAATGTTATGAAGGCAGTTTTATCTGCTTGTTGAGTATGTTAGTGGCTACTGGCAGAGTGGTACTTCCTAGGTCAAAATCTATTTCCTAGCTAAAGGTTCTCATCAAAAAAAGTCTAAGCTTTTTTCCTACCTCTAACTGTGAATCGGTGTTTTGGGAGAGACTGTTCTGTCACTTTGAATTCGAACAAAGTTAGTTTTCTGGTACTTTTACTGTAATATATGATATTTAAATGCAAGATTTATTTATGACATATTACAAATATTTTATTGTAAAGCTGAGTATCATCTTTGGTATTGCTTTTAGGTGCTAGACTAATATACTGAAACACTATATACACTTAATACTGGTAATACAGTACTTGCAAATGTATATTTAATATGTTATGATCCCTAAAGAGCCAAGTTGCCTTATAGCTGCCTGTAACTGCAAAGTCACGTGAGATTTTTTGCTAATTTGTGCTGTGTATGCTGCAAATATATGCTATGTGAACACTTCAGTTCTTGCACAGAAACTGTACAGCTATATTTAGCTGTAAAGTTCAGGTTTTTCAAATATACAAGGCAGATTATATAATGCAAAATAATAGGGATTAATGAAAATCTGTTTAAAAGCAGATGGTTGAGATAAATGTACAGTCTCAAAGAATAATATTTTTTATTTCAAGTATTGGAAGTCTTGTACATTTGGCTTTTAAAATATTGTAAATTGTTTGTTTATTCTTGTAAAATTCAGATAGGACAGCTCTAAGTATAGATTGTTTTGCATAGATGCGTTTAGCCCAGCACCTGCTGGTAACCAAGGCCCTCCTCCAATGATGGGTATGAATATGAACAACAGAGGAACTTTACCTGGCCCTGCAATGGGTCCTGGTCCTTCCATGGGACCAGAAGGAGCTGCAAATATGGGAACACCAATGATGCCAGATAATGGAACAGTGGTAACGTATCACAAATTTAATTACTTTGAATAGCTGTCATGTCTCATGGCCCATTTTTGTTACCAAAGATATTTTCACACTGAGTAAGAACATGTTCCATGTTTTGAATCTTAAAAGTAATTGATAAAACTTATTAATGCAAATAATTTACAACACAGGAGGGAAATCTTTATTTGATATTACTATGAAAATCTTATTCCCTTAGGAATGGGCTGAGTTCCTTGATCAGTAACCAGACTTTAAACTGAGGTTAGAATATACAGCACTTGTGGCAAAACTTTGCATGTGTGACGTGTCATGAAAAACTCGCTGACAGAAGGAAATCCCTTCTGTGAATTTAAGAAGGAACAATGTACCAGAGTAATCTGTAAATTTAGTCGTTTGCTGTTTTTTCTTTTGTGAAACTATATTCTGTGTATTAGCTTGTTGGGATTTTTGGTGAACAGTTAAATGTTGGAAGCTATGTAGTGTGAAGATATCTTTGTGTAAACTATTTAAATTTTTAAAGCAACTTTAGTGGTTTTTGTATTTCCTTTCTAACAGTGTTGAAAGCATGAGATTATGACAGTAATTATGCCACTTAGAAAATAAGTATGCCAGCAGCTGATAGAGATAACTGTCATATCAACATGGGGAAAAATACTATGTCCCTGTTGCCAAGGGTGGTAGGGGGAATGTCTTGTATCTGGAATTTTTTATCAAGAGCAGATATGCCATTGGGATGCAGTTAAAGCACTAGCCATTTTTGCTCTGTTTTCATAGCCAGTCACTTTTCCTAGCTGTAATGTCTTATGTAGAGAAACAACTATATAATTTTAAATCTGATTTTTACATATTTTTTCAGTTATTATTCTGTAAATAGATATTTGGGATGTTCTAGTGGTGGTGTGATACAATGGAGTATAAATAGTGATTCCACTGCAGTTTTATTGGAACACAGAAGCATTTAGTAGCTGTATTTTTTTAGTATATGCCTTCTCAACAGTATCTGTCTGCGATTGAGCAGCCTGTATAATGAAGTTTGGACAAAATCCTTTGTTCCTTAGAGGAAAATGAGATTTTGATTGAGCACAAAATACATAATGAGTCTGGTTTTTACCAGTTAAAGGAGAAGATCTCACTTTACGTCATAGGAGCCAGCTCATTTTACCAGTTGTATCATTTGTCACAGAGTGCAGGGATGCTTTTCATGAAATACTGTTTTCAGAGCTGCTTTTGCTGGAGACCAGTGTGTGACTGGTCACCTCTGGAACATTCTCTTGTGATTATATGGACACTGAGAAAGAAGTGTAAGGAAAGAACATGGTGGTATAAATCGTGGTATCTATCTCAAACTGTTGTTTTTCTACAAAAAGTCATTCCAGGAATGGAAATGTGGGGAATATACTTACACTTCAAAATGCACATTTTAAAAAAAAAATATATTTTTTTTTTCTTCCATTTTTTTCTGCATGCTATTGAAGGACAAATTAGATGTTTGTTTTTGGTTTTTTTTTTATTTTTATTTTTGACTTTCAAGGTTTTTAGCTTGGGGGACACACCCCTACAGAAAGGCCTCGCCTTGCTGTATTTTTGCAGCTGTTGGAAAGGTGCTTTAAAGATCCTTTGAGGGCTGTCTGCTAAAACTCTGTAAGAGTTCATTTCAGTTTCCACTGAGAACATGCTTTATAGATCAGAAATGCAGTTTTCATTTTTTAAATTGGATGTTTTTCTGAAATCTTTTAGGGGAAAGTTGCAGCAATCTTCTTTTTGTTCCACTGCAGTCTTTTGAAACATAGATTATCTTTGAACCTAACATTTTAAAAAAGCTTTTTTCCTCCCATACTTTATTGTAGGTAGTTAATTACTGCAGTTTTCCCATTAGCTGGAGAGAGGGTTCCTTGTTGGAAAGAGGACTTGACTTTTTGTCCAAAAGTCAAATGGTAAAAATTATCAGGCGTATTTGATAAGCTATTTGTTGACATTCATATCTGTTGCTAACAAGCTGGCATGAGTTAAAGATAAGTTAACAATTTTTAACCAGTGCTGCAGATTTTAAGCTACTTTGAGGCAGTAGTAGATCTTTATGCAGCTGTTGAAGTATCTTTTTTCTTATTCAATTCCAAGTTTTAAACAATGAACATATATATAACCATTATCTAAGTTGCACAAATTTTGATCTATATAGATATAATGCTGTTTTAAAATAATATTTATATGAATTATCAGACTTCAAAACTGTTGAGCTCTACTACTATTGCTGGAGTTAGACTTTCAGAAGAACTTTTCTCTGATTCAGATGTATAAATAAAGTGCTAGTCTTGAATGTTTTTGTTGAACTCTGAATACCTGGACTGTTAATGTAGATCTCTGTAGAGAAGGAATTTCTTCTGAAAGCATAACTGTCCTCAACAGGTAAATGATGAGTTATTTCAAGATCTGATTGTACCATAAATCTGTTTTTACTGGTTTATGTTATGTCGAGTTAATGTTTTAAATTTCATCATGTGAGGTTCTGTTTTTAAACACTTGCATAAATACTGAATAGTGATCAGTGCATGTTTTCTGTTTTAGGTCTTAATTTCTATAGCCAAATAAATCTGTGTAAGCACATATACCTTTATTAATATTTATCACAGAACTAAGAAAAATAAATGTGGGACACTAACTGGATTTTCACCTTATATTGATATTTCAATTTAAGCTTTAGATGGATATAAATTTTTTTCAAACTAAGCATAGTCCAGTTAGGCTTTTTATCACTAGTCGTGTCAGTTTATTTGAACTGGATTTTAACTCTTAAGTAAAGATTTCTGAAGAGCCGTATAAAAGGCTGACTCCAGTATGGACTGAAATACACTTTATCCACAGATATGTGGATATATAAGTCTTCAGGTTATATGTTATTAAAAGAATAAAGCTGCAGTCTCTAGAAATACAAAACCAGATTTTTGTAATTTTTTTTAGATTTTTTTTTTGCTAGTTTGACAATGTTTCTGTGTCTTAATTTGTTTAAGGGAAAATCATTGTAGTTGGTACGTGAGGCAGAATAGGGCTCAGGTATGAAGTTATTGTTTGCTGTCTCTTCTGTTACATAGAGAATATGTATTGCTTCAGATGTGGTTGAAGGGATGAAGCTACATTCAGTACCAGAGTTGGTCTTAATACTTAAGTTTTTAATTTTTAATTTACTTTACAAAGTTGGAGCATAACATTAGCACTCTTTAATTTCCAGCTCTTTTTCCATAATAACTAATTTAATTGCTCCTTTCTTCCTTCTATGTGTGATCCTGATTCTCCTGGACTATCTGCTGAACTCCATGACAACATCACTTGTGGTTTTTGTTGTAACTCACATTTGGCATGTTCCAAATGGACTTATATTAGCATAATGAGAGATTCCCTCAAGGAGGTCCATCACAGATGGGTTCACCTCTGGTTAGTAGAACGGGCTCTGAAACTCCTCAGCCGCCAATGAGTGGTGTAGGTGCCGTGAGTGGTGGACCTGGTGGTTTTGGTAGAGGAAACCCAGGGGGCAACTTTGAAGGACCTAACAAGCGTCGCAGATACTAAAACTTATTTCATTCCTTACGGTTTAGAAATTCCAGTAAAAATATACAGTGATATGCCTTTATAATTTTAGCTGTTATCTGGAAACGGTTTTATTGTTATTGTAGTCTTCAAAACAGTTTCTTTTGTAAAACTTTTTTTGTATTCAGTCATAGGCTTTGTAGTCTAGAGCAGAAATGATGCAGAACATTATGTAGTGCAATGTGTTTGTGACTTCAGCAAAATACAATGTGTGACTATGCTGTAAAACGTGCAGTTATCTGATTACAATAAAATACAAAAAAAACTTGAAAGGATTTTGGGAATGTTATTACTAATACGGGGTGAGAATAATTTTATGCTTAATTATAAGTGGCATAATTTTCATTCTTATGTAGTTTCTCCTGTGTGTCAAGAAAGTTCCATTCTTGATAGTGAAACAAGTGAATTTAGCATGCTGCAGTACATACTATGAACAATTTGTATCACAACTGCTTTTGTTTGTTTCGACTTTTGAAGAGCATCAAATTTTATACTAAGTGTTCTCAAGGATACTGTGTCCTGTATCTTATGCTCCCTTTGCAAACTTAGCCATAATAGGCTTATTAACAGAGTGTATCAGTTACTCAAATTACTGGAAAATTTAACTTGGGGGGAGGATGTGGGGAGGTCTTTGGAAAGGGAATCTGTATGTATGTTTTATTCATAACAGTGTGAATGAATTTACCTAAACCGTAATTCTACAGAAGAAAAATTGTTCTGACATCTGCGCATTCTACTGACTGTTAAAGTATCTTGCCATTGCAAGGAAGGAAACATTTGTGCAAGTTGATTTAAAGCCTTCCACTGTGTAATGACTCATTATACATTTCCCCCAATGGTTGGTTTGAATAGAAACAAGTCTGTTGTGATTAACTGGTTAATTAGGAGGCAAATACATGTTTTCCAGTTAAAATAATTGTTCACTTATAGTAAATATACGTTTAGAAGGATTGCACATGAGTATTCTTGAGAAATGTTTGACAGAATGATGAATTTGAAAAATACCCATTTCCAACACAATTCAGGCTAGATTTGCTGATTGAGTTTTAAGATAAAACTGATGATAAAGCTATTAAGAAGCTAATATTTCAGATTTTATCAGTAATAGAAGATGATGGAAAAGGCCTGTTGGTTCTATTCCTGTAATGGCAAGAAAGTAGGGATATTTTTGGTTACTATTGCTTTTTTCCTGTGCAAAATAGTTGTAAAATATTGATGTTCAGTTTTTTTAAGCTCACTCACATTTTCAGAAGTAGACATTACTAAAATTTAGCTGCATGAGTAGTGATACTAAATTGACTAAAACCTGATGATTTGAGATAACTTGTTGCCCTAATTATATCAAAATGGTATATATGTAGCTCAAAGCATGGGATGCAAGTAGCAGACAGAGCATATATGTTACTTCTTAATATAGCAGTGGTGGTCTTGGTGAATTGAATTGTGAACAGATGGATAACAGGAAAATTGCAACATTGCTGGCATTTTGGAACTACTGTTATTTAAATTGCCAGTGTTATATGACTTAAGATAGAGATTGTTTTCATACAATTCAGGAGTTATCACATGTATGTATCCTCATTTGTGACATCTGTAACTACTGAGCATTTTCCTGTAGACTGTCTTTAATGTTGCCTTTTTTTTTGCTCAACTTGAGATAGACACCACACTTTCTATTTGGT